TATTTACGACTGTCCTAGAACGTCCTCAGTTAATTTGTGATCAAGAATAAGCATCCACTTTTAGAAAGGACAAATGCAGGATTGTCCCAGAAATGCCGTTTGCAATCGTATTGAGAAACATCCTTTTTGAAAAGGTAGGACATATGCAAGACTGTAAGAAATGCCCTCAGTTTGCGATCGTACAACAATCGTACAACGAAATAGCCATTTTAGAAAGAACTTATGCAAACTGTCTCAAAATGGAAATGCAATTTGCGAACATACGACGAAACAGGCGTTTCCAAAAGGACATGTGCACGACTGTCCAAGAAATACGCTCGGTTAATTTTGCGATTGCACGACAATCGTGCGACGAAACAGCCGTTTCCAAAAGGACGTGACTGTCCAATAGATATAGTTTGCGATCGTACCACAAGGCAGCCTTTTTCGAAAGAACCCGTGAACAACTGTCTCAGAAATACCGTTTGCGATTGTACGTACGAAGATCGTGCGACGATCGTACGACGGATGTGACCGGTCCCTACGACGACGACGTGTCGATCTCTACTTGGCCGGCTCGGGCCCGCACCTGCCGAGGACGGGATGCCCCACCCGGCGGCACACCAGACCGCCGGCGCACGGGCACAGGAAGAACGGGCTCGGGCGCTTCATCGGGTACGGCATGCTGAGGGAACGGCAATAAGGTAAAGGTAGGTAAAAGTAGTCTGTTGTATCATGCTTTATCCAAGAGGCAGGTGTAGTTATGGATAGTCCACGCGTATCCAGAACCGAGGTTAGGGCAAATCTACGCTCTGAGATACGCGCAGACTATCCAGAACCGTACATGATTCTAGCTCTAACACATTCGGGCATGGCCACTTCAATCAGTACTGCATGCTGAGGGAACGGGAAAAAGGTAGTTGCTGTATTCAGAGCCATGCTCAGACACGGTTCTGGATAGTCCGCGCGTATACTGAACTGTGCCTTGGGCAAATCTACGTTCTGGCATAGGCGGAGACTATCCAAAACCGTGCCTGATTCTAACCCTAGCGTCCTTGCCCTAACCCATTTTGGGCTCGGGAACGGCAAGAACATAGGCGTCTGGCATTGCAGTATAACGTAGAGTGGATTCATTCCTCAAGCTAAACTACATCAAATACATCGCAGTCGTCCCTCGGTCATAGCATAGCTTTATGTTTAACTATTTTGTAAACAATAAGGCATACATGTAGTGATAACGTTGTAGATCTAAATGCTTGACTATTTTGTCTCTCATCTTGTTCACTATCAACACTACAGGTACGACATTTTACCCATTTTGGTCTTTTAAGTAGTAGTATAGCTACTGTATTTAGCACATGTGGGTAAAAACATAAAAATAAAGATCACCACCATCTATTATTAGTAAGGCATTTCTTGAACCGTTGGACTTACTTGTTGCTCTCGAGGAAGCAGACCTTGCCCCTTCCGTCGCTGGTTTGCACTGCGGCACGGGCGAGAAGAAGTTAACCCTGGGGGCGCAACAGCTGCCGTACCCATGGACGTCGATACAGTCCTGGTCACTCGAACACAGCTGAAGTGGCGAGGTGCAATAAATTATCTAATCAATACGTAACATCGTCAAGAGACGAACAAAAAAGGTTGTTGCATCCAGAACCGTGCTTTATCGATCCAGAACCGTGCTTTATCGTTCCAAAATCATGCTCGGGTACGGTTCTGGATAGTTCTCGCGTGTCCAGAACCGTGCCTGGAGAAAAGCTACGTTCTTGGATACGCGGAGACTATCAGGAACCGTGCCTGATCCTAACCCTGACCGATTCAGGCATAGAAACAACACTTTTACTAAAAGGAGTCAGTTCAGCACCAAGGACAGTATGCGACCGAGCAGAAGTGCATGTATCAAAAACCGCGGCTCTGGATACAGCTGGGTACTTCTATCAAACGCCTGTCCCTTTTTGAAGAAACGTCATCTTATCTTTCAGAAATTAAACGATTTGTCAATCGTTTGCTCTCTTCTACCACTACAGTACAGTAGCAACCGAACATTGAGGTACATACAGCATAAACGAACGCTCGAAGTCTGAGCTTTTCTCAACATATTTTTTGTAACAGAATCTACGTAACCCACCTCCAAAGCAGCGTTACTCTTCAGGACGGCAAGCGTTGTGATGAACAGGAGAGGTAGGTTCTTCATTCCGTGCCGCAGATTCGGTTCTTGCGCGCCAACCTAAGTCTTCAGAAGCAGCAGCTTGTTCTCCTCTCTGGGGTAGTAGGAGTATAATACTGAACCGCCGCCGAGTCCTAAAATTTTATTTTGCACAAATGTTGCAAATAAATCCGTGTCTTTTCTTACATAGTTCAGCAATGACGTCATTTCCTGCTGACCCCTAACCCTGGAAGCTAGAAGAGCGTCGTTGTGTTTTATCTTCCCGACATCAGGGTGACAGTTGAAGTCCTCTCCAGTTCTGTCAGCGGTTTTATGACGCGTCCATATGACAGGGTTGTAACATCAGCGCCGCGCCTTACATTAGCCGGCATTACGAGCCGCACTTTGCCGCTGTTAACCTTTGAACGGGCTTGTATAAACCGTCCATCTTCATTTTCATGGCTTTTATACAACTCAAACTTGTTGTGAGAAACTTCCTGGCCTCGTGTGCACGCTATCGCTAGCTTAAAGCCACCACCCAGCAACGAACCGCCTACACATTGACGTAAGACATGATAAAACCTTTGCTCGTGTTCACCGAGAAAGAAAACTTACGCAAGCAGATTCCGCTATCAGGCAACGGCAATGGCAGGACATACATCCTGCGGAGGCAACTTTACGACTATCGCTAAACTGCAAAGAGCCTCCTTATGTTCATTGAGGCAAACTTGTGTAACTATGCACCGTTATCAGCCACAGCCAAGACATGTCCTTTTCACTCTTAGAATTAAATTTACGTCCGGACATGAAAGAGACTTTACTGCTGTCGTCAAATCTCCTTTCCACTAGATGCTGCGAATGCCGAGCGTCCAGAGATTGCTCAACGAGTTTCATGGGTAAAGAGCGTGTTTTTCTTCGTTTTGTGTGTTCTGTTGTCCTTTAATTCATACTTTTTACATCTTTCTCTTATATCTTTACATTCATACTTTTGCATTATATTCCTATTATATGAAGTAAAGGGTTCCACGAATCCGATTTTGGTCGTTGTTCGGTCGCTAGCGCTCAGCGATCGAAGTCTAGTGGAAATGGGGACTAAAGAAAAGAGTTTCCTCGGCTAAAGGTCAGAGTTGGTGAGAACCTGTCAGCACAAGTTTGTCGGTACAAGTTGGGTTCGCTCCAGTGACCCTGTGACCCTCTGACGTCATGGGTTGGATCGCAGTGACGTCATCGCCGCCCTTCCTGCGTTTTGTGTCCCACTTCTCCTAAATGAAGTGTCTGATTCGATTGTCGAAGCTCGCGTCGTTAACGAAAAATATGTGTGTATATATTACTGTCACATTTACTTTGTGGTATTTTGAAAGGAAAAGAAACATTCAGTGGTTCAACAGAGACACCAGACAAATTCAGCGACTTACGTCGTGAACGAAAAATATGTATATATGTACATTATTACTGTCATATTTACTTAGCGGTATTTTGAAAGGAAAAGAAACATTCAGTGGTTCCACATAAACACCGGACAAATTCAATGACTTACGTCGTTAACGAAAATACATGTATGTATATATGTACATAATACTGTCACATTTACTTAGCAGCAATATGAAAGGAAAAGAAACATTCAGTGGCTCCACATTAACACCGGACAAATTTAATTACATCAACTTCATTTCCCATGAAAGTGCCGTGTGTTTTCTGGAGTGTTAACAAAATTTGCGGCCGTCCGTTCGTTGCCCCTATCGCGTAATAGACGACTTTTTTTGTGGCCGGTTATCAATTTTTTGTCCATTAAGGTCATGAGTTGAGGTCATAAGTCAAAGTACACATGCATGGTCTTCCGTCATTTCATATTTGTGGCCTGTTAACCCGGTTTACTGCGAAACTGTTCAGAAGAGACGTCATTCTAAAGCTCACAAACGACCTGTGGACTAGCCTCCTTCGCAGACTTGTTGGGCGGCGGCGTTATTTTTTTCGGTGAGCGATGTGAGTTATTCCGCGGAGGGACGATTTTGCCGCCGAGGAAGTTTTGCGACCAAGAGGTTTCTCAAAACCTTCTCTCCACGGCAAAACCCCCTCTGCGACAAAATCGTTCCTCCGCGGAATAACTCGCGTCGCTCACCGAAAAAATAACGCCGCCGCCCAACAAGTCTGCGAAAGAGGCTACCGTAGACTGAGTGTACTGACTCCTCATAATAGCCTTTATGCAGGCAGTTGTTTCTAGTACATTTGTAGTAGAGTTTGACTTGTCTATGGGTATTGTTTACCTGGATGTTTAACATTAATGTAACATTGACAGCATTTTAGTAACCTGATGTGAGTATTGCAGTCTATGCTCTACATTGATATATACAGGATATAGCAATGTTGTAATGTTCATACTCAACATAAACATCGTATTAACTTCAAAAGCCTAAAAAAAATGTCCTTTTTTGGCGACGTCTCAGGGAGGAGCCTAATAGTACAGTATTGTGTGCAGTTTGCAAGAATTCTAGGAATGGTACAGGCATTTAGTCCACAGGAATGGAATGTCCACAGGCATGTCTCTGACCACATCTATGCCCACATTGCTGGAAAACCTTGGGAAGACCTGTCTGCCCCGGATGTCCCTACTTTCTGTGACCCCGGGGCTCGTTCACTATACACTCGGGGGAGGAGTGTACTGTATCTGTCTAGAATTAACAGGTACCAAGTCTTCCTCAAAATCATGAAATGATGGCAGTGCCATGCAGACAATAACCCTAACAGCAACCACCGTCGCCATGGCCATGTATGTTTTCATTGCCAGTCTTGTTACTGTTATGCTATATAACTGAAGATGTCAATTGTAACAAGGAACATACCAATGCACCAATCCAGATGACAGGACACAACTAACTAATCTTCTCCCACGTTTATTGAAAGGTTCTCAACATGATTCTGCATCTTTCCCTCACATAAGCCCCAACATTACATTAATACACAGAACACACATCAACAAATGTGAGGAAGTCTTATAATAATCATGTTTTTTTCTACTGTACTGATTTTGGATTAGCAGATACATAAAAGGATTTCTACATCTCTAAAACTCAAACTCGAACTCGAAGTACTGTGGGTCGAAGGTGTGAACTCGAACATAGCCGTCCTCACCACCGGAGCTGTAGCTGTGGGAAAAAGGAGGAAACAGTGGTCAGTATTTACTATAATGAAAGTTCATCTGTGTTGGTAGTTACATGTTTAAAGTTAAAACTTTCGATCCAACACAAAAAGTTCTCTCACCTAGAGCTTTTGACCAGACACTCTGGTCTTCCTCAGTAGCCTCTGTGGACTCTGTCTACTGAGGAAGACCAGAGTGACTGGTCAAAAGCTCTAGGTGACAGAACTTTTTTGTGTTGGATGAAATGTTTTAACTTTAAACAGTGGTCAGTGTTTGTTTGTTTGTTTGTTTGTGTACACCTGAGAGGAGCATGAGACAGGTAAAATATCTGGTTTACATGTCTGGGTGTGAAATACTAGGTGCATGCTTACCGGTACTTTTGTGCAGACAAAATTGGATCTGTGCTCCTAATTTCTGACTGTGGGATCACTCAATTCTTCTATAGAGTTACGTACATAAAGGCACAGCATATGCTGCAATGTTGTTCTTGACATTTAAGCATGAAAAAAATAACTATATTGCACATGTATTACATGTAAGTGTTAATCAACAATGTATTCAGGCATGATTTTCCAGGACATTCCATGCTTACACATGAAAGTGTGGATTTTGAAGTAGTCTACATCATACATAAACTTATACATACATATTATAATATAGATAATTACAAATAAACCTTTCCGTACCTTTTGCCGTCGGGGTGGAATGCCACGCTGTTGATTGGTCCAAAGTGACCCTTGACCCTGCCGAATTCTTCCTCGAAGATGAGGTGGAAGAAGCGAGCGTCGAATTTGCCGATTCGGGTGGACGTGGTCGTCACCTGCATGGCCTCCTGTCCTCCGCCTAAAACAACCTGGGGAAAACACAACAAAGTCAACCTTTCAGATCATTGACTGATTGAGGTCGTGTGGCGTAACGACAGAGCATTTGGCTCAGAACCAAGAGGTCCTGGGTTCAAATCCTGCCATGTCTCCGACATTGTGCCTTTGCAAAAGCCACTTTATACGACTTTCCTCACTCCGCTCAGGTGAACATGAGTATGCCAGAGTGATCATTATCATGATTGCGGGCATTAAAGGAAAACCAACCAACCAATAAGTTAAAGGTAAAGCAGTCAAGTCATCTTCAACAGGATCTTTTGCTGTTCTGTACAGGCCACTTTTAGTTTTTACTACATTTCTTTTGGTCAAAACAAAAGTGACAAGGTAGGTTGGCATGCTCCAGTTGTTTCCCAGCTCTCAAGTCTACAACGACTGTAACTCACGTGGTCCATGCGTGGTGAGATGGCAGCTGAGTTAACCGGTCTCTCTGTCTTGTAGGTCTTCAGATGGTCCAGGGAGTCAGCATCAAAGAGCTGCAAACAAACAACAAAGAAACATACAGTTATTTTGAGAAAGGGAAGGCAGTCTATAAGACTTCATAGATTTACATATCAGCAGCACCAGATATATATCTGTAGCTGCATAAGGCTTGGCAAAGTACTTCTCATGACTTCTCATATAGGCAGTAGATGTCTGGTACCGACAAGTACTCTCATGTCCCGAATAAACATACCCCCCGGAATAAACATACCCCCCGGAGAAATCTTCAAAGTCTAATAAACATACCCTCCGGAATAAACGTACCCCCCGGAAAATGACCAAATTGACGGGTGAACGGTACTAAAATGTGCTCTTTATTTCAATACCAAATCTTTCACTGTTACTTTTGATTAGGAATATAAATATACTGTACTAGTGCTTGTTGTTGGGAAATACAACATCTGATTATCATTTCAATGTAATAAAAGAAACATGAGGCTGTCTATGTAATACTATACCTCAACAAACAGTGTCAACATTACAGCCATAATTATGACACCACTAGCAATAGGGGTGGGTACCTGTACATGTTTGGCTCTTTCAGGTCCAGGTCCAGAGGATCAGGTCCAGGTCCGGACCTGTACCTGTACCTGATTCTGAATACCGGAGTATCAGTACCGAATTTTTTTTGCTAAATGATCATTGTTAAATACAATATAAGTATAAGTAACCACTACAATAATTTTCATTTCATTTTATTTTATTTTTTTCTTTTTATTTATTTTTATTTATTTTCATTTTATTTTTTATTCTATTTTATTTTATTTTATTTCATTTAATTTTATTCTATTTTATCCGTTCTATGCATTATCAAACTTCACCTCTACTCCTAGAGCTCCATACTCATGATACTATAACGTTAACTTCAGACCGAATATATTAAACATTTTAATTCGCCCCCTCTAGCGGTTTGGGCCAAATTGCAGCTTTCCAAAAAAATCCAAGATGGCGCCGGCAGATCGGCGCGGCTCGGCGATTGCCGGTTTCCTTGTATTTTCCTTGGTATTTTACGCGATTCAAGCAAAGAAAACAAGTTGACCACAAGAACAAAAGAGTAATACAGCACTGGGAACGTAATGGTCCGTTTTGTTGGGCGGTAATTTCTCATTTCGAGTGAATATTTACGTGCGTCACAGTGTGACTACTGGTGACTCGATCCGAACCAAACACAGCCTGTAAACTTGTTCTTTGTGATTCCTAGATAACTATCGGTAACAAAGACATGGGAAAATATTGTTGCAAAACGAGAGAGACGGAAACTAAGGTAAATTTCTTTTATTTTAAGGCTTAAAATAAAATTATATTGATAGTGACAATTTTTTTCCAAAACCGATTTTCCAAAAATTTATAAACGTACCGTCCCCAATAAGAATGTACCGGGTGGACGTTCGGGCCGAAAAAAATAAACGTACCGGTACGTTTAATCGGGACATGAGAGTATGGATTGGGATAGGGTATGTAGAGTGAAAAAAGAACATGGCATCTGGATGTGTATTCCTTGAAGCTTCACACAAATACTACATGTGCCGGTAATAAGAATGTTAATTGTTCATTGTGTTCACCTGTATATGACTCATGAAAGGTCTTAAAGCGGTAAGTAAAAAGGTAAAATAATGTCATTGGTTCAATCTATTCTTAACTGACTGTAGTAGCCGAACTATCCAGTGCCATTAGTGTGTGAGAGATTGTGATTGAGAGAAATAAATGATCACTACCACTACTGACCATAGCGTTTGTGTCCTTGGATGCGCTGACAAACATGGTTCTGTCCTTGTTGAGTTGGATGTCGTTGATCTGTTTACTGTGGACCCTCACGTTCCGCACCCTCTCACCAGACTGGACAGTAACAGAAAAGACAATCAGCTGAGTGACCGTGAAAGGAAAAAGGAAAGGTCTCCAGTGCCCTTGTGCAGAGCGTAGGGTGGTGCCCGTCTCCATCTCTGTAGCCCTTGGGCGACAAACAGTTGTGCAAGCCAATGCACTACAGCAGGGGGCTAGTCCGCTGGCAGTGCTGTGTGTTTGACCTTCCCACACTCTTTCTCCTATGTGCTGAGTGCTAAGCAGAGAAAGAAGTGTGTACCATTTTTGATGGTAAAAAGGTATGACCCGGCCGGGGTTTGAACTCATGACCTCCCTGTTACAAAGCGAGCACTCTACCAATTGAGCTATTGCACCGCTGACCACCCATGAATAATTTCATTAAGTAATAGCAAGAGCCTTTATATAAAAGTTTTTATTCAAGAACCAGTGGGTTTCCATATCTGACGACTTGTCCCTTTCTTCAGGGCCAGAATCTGAACCATTTTAAATATTGCTGCCCTGAAGAAGGTGACTGTCTGAGTTAGCAAAACCATATTGGTTGTTGAATAAACAACCAGTTACCTTGTTATACAGTTAGATACAGATGAACAATGTGACATCTTGCATGAAAGTTTGAATGAGCAAATGGGTCAGATGGCTGAGGATTTGAAAGGTGTCCAATTTTATGAGTTGGAGAGCAGTTCAATTCGTACCATAATTTTTGTATTACATGGGAAAGGAGTATAACTATTATTTCTCTACTTTTAGATTTTTAGATAGAAAAGAAAACTTTCACTTTCCTCATGAAACTCGATAATCCTCGTACTATAAGCTCCATCTGTTCTTACATTTACAACTGTCTTAAGAAGCGAGAAGAAGCAGAACCTGTACATACATGTATGTAGTTTTACTATAGATATGTTTTAGTCTACCATCGCTATTCACCATGACCTGTAGTTAGTTAGCAATGAGCAAAAATGTACAATAAAGGTCTTTCATTCATTAAGGCAAACAGTCTGCAGCCAGTACATGGCGTTCCTACCTTGACATCGAACTGGCTGAACTCCCCACTCTCGTGTCCGGTGATAATGTACTCGTCCAGCCCTCCCCACACGGCCGACGTGACTTTGGGGCCCTCGATGGGGATACTCAGCAGGGGGGCGTTGTTTGCTGGGGAAAGGTAAGGTTGCACATCAGGGCTCAAAATTCATTTTTGGGAATAGGTGCACTGCAGCTGGTGCACCCAACCTAAAAAATTGGGTTCACAATGAATTATTTGGGTGCACCATATAAAATAAAATACACATGTAAGCAGAATGTCAGCAAAAACTAATTATGTTTCATTTCTAGGCAAAACTAGTACAAAAAAGCTGGGCATGACATATATAAAATTGCATGTTGGCAACCTTGCAATGTTGTTTGTTCAAAACTTTGGCCGCATAACATGGAGGCCGACACTTGACAATGCCTGATGGCAATGTTGTCTTCATTTTGCAGCACAGAGTTTGCAATCTATGGAAGGTTTACATTGTAGGTGGTTTGGAAAGAAAAGGGGTATGTGACATGGTTTTGTTTTGTATTAAGTCCGGCATCGATTCTTGCCTTTTAGGTTTTTTTGAACTTGAACCTAAACATTTTTACAAGTCCAGAATCGGTCCAGCGAACTGGTACACGGCACTAGCATTGTTACTCACCTAGCTGTTCCCCTGCCCTGATGTCATAGATGTCTAGTGAAGGGTTGTAGCCCATCTGTCTGTCTGTACAGAACATGATCATGTCTCCACTGTAGGAGAAACCACACGCTCGCACTGCGTTGTTAGTGTCCCACTGGAACAGTTGTTTTCCTGCAGCAAGAGAAGAGTAGAGGTTTAGAGATGATTCAACCTCGTCAAAATGTTGGAGATACATAATATTATACGAATAAACAATCATTACCTGTCTCACAGTCCCATAGCCTTGCGGAGTTGTCAGCGGCTGCGGTGAGAACCTTGGTGGTCTGCCAGTCGATGTCCAGTGCCCAGACGGCCCCGTTGTGCCCGTTGTACGTGCCTAACCTCTCTCCGTTGATGGCGTACCAGACGCAGGGCTTGGTGTCCTTGGCGCAGGAGAAGAGCAGGTCCCCCTCACGGTTGTACTTGATCTGGGTGATGGCACGGGTGTGCCCCTGCAGCATTAACGGTTTCTGTGGGAGAATAAGCAAGATATTACTGATCATTCAGATCTCTCTTCAAATCTGATCCTTATGAACCCTGATTTGATAGGGGAAGAAAATTACAATGATTGTTGCAGAAAGTCTGTGGCCATGTACATCAGGGCATTACAACCATCCCTCAACAGAGACGGGGGCGCCACAGACTTTCTGCAACCTATCATCCACTGCTCGCTCATGGAGTCACGTGTGTTATCTGCGTGCCATGACGTAAACGGTGGATTGTTCCTTCCTTGACAAAGACTGGAGTTGTACAGTCAAAAATTTAGTCTAATTTGTTGTGTTGGAAATTACAGTTCAAACTTGCTTCATAAATCAGGGTTTGTATAATTCTCAACCTTATAAAACTATCATATGGGAGCACATAAGCTGGCCAGATAAGCATGGCAATGGAATTTGGCAAGACGTAAAGAATTCATGGAAATGGTGGTGAATTTTACTCTTTCTATATTCAGCAAGTAAATTATGTCATTTATCTTTCTCAAAAGTGTGCTAACTTTGAGAGATCCATATAATTTTTCAGGAGGCGACTTGCACACTGCCCCCCTCCCCCATTTTGCCATGCCTGCAACCATCTGGCCATACATGCGTACAATATGGGGACAATTTATGCCACAAATTTACAAAAAAGCACGGGAATATGGCCTCCTGGTTCTGGAACAGATACTTAACTTTCGTTTGATACCAAACATGGCATTTATAATGTCTTAAATATTTACTAAATCGCAAAAAGAACGCCTTACCATGTTGCGAAATAATTTTTTCCCTGCTCTTTCTTTGCACGCAGTGACGAAATGTAACCCGAATGTGCGGCGCATTAGAACCAATCAGAGGACAGGATTTGGGCACTTTGACCAATCACCATGAAGTGCTAGAAAGATACGGGATAGCATAAGACAGCATCTACACGCACCATGGTGAAAACGAAGATTGACAAAGTAAGTTATCTAACACAAACATACTAAGCTTATTTAGTATATACATACCTACTACAATATACGTGTTTTATATTTAGAGGCAAATTTGATCCAATTGTTTTGCTGAAAGAATTGTATCTTTCAAATCATTGCGTTTTTCTACTTTCATGTAACCTCTGACCTCTAGAGACCTTTGATGGATGGTAGGGGAGATACTTTTTCACATTGGGCTAAGGGTAGAGGTCGAGAACGAGGCGGAGGTCACTGGAGGTCACCGGAAGTGACGCGTAGGGCTGGACTGCTACTCATATGCTGCAGCAATACCTCAGTTTCGGTAGTGTGGGGAGGGCTACCTGCGTCTTTCCCTCCATTTACGTGCAAAAACGTCAACTTTTACGTCTATATTCACTGCATTTGTGTGGCTCTTACCTCTGGGGACAAGGAAAAGCACAGTTCAGATCATATTTGAGGGGATTTAAGCTCTGGGGACCAGGTAACACTCCATATAACGTTACATGTAGGTAATGGGGACCAAATTGGTTATCAATGTTATATTTGTGTGGCTCTTACATCTGGGCTCTTTTTTTTTAGCTCTGGGACTAGGTAAGGCAGCTAATGCAGGAAACATTTGCACCGTACAAGTAATAATTGCAGGGCTGTCAGGTCTGGGGACCAGGTGAGACACCTTACAGGTGACTGACGTGTATTTCCTTTGACTTGGGTCAACAATAGACCAGGTGAGACACCTTACAGGTGACTGACGTGTATTTCCTTTGACTTGGGTTGACAATAGACCAGAGGTGAGACACCTTACAGGTGAGTTACGTGTATTTCCTTTGACGTGGGTTGACAATGGACCAGGTGAGACACCTTACAGGTGAGTTACGTGTATTTCCTTTGACTTGGGTTGACTATGGACTAGGTGAGGTACCTTACAGGTGACTGACGTGTATTTCCTTTGACTTGGGTCAACAATAGACCAGGTGAGACACCTTACAGGTGACTGACGTGTATTTCCTTTGACTTGGGTTGACAATAGACCAGGTGAGGCACCTTACAGGTGAGTTACGTGTATTTCCTTTGACTTGGGTTGACTATGGACCAGGTGAGGTACCTTACAGGTGAGTTACGTGTATTTCCTTTGACTTGGGTTGTTTATGGACCAGGTGAGGTACCTTACAGGTGACTGACGTGTATTTCCTTTGACTTGGGTTGACAATAGACCAGGTGAGGCACCTTACAGGTGAGTTACGTGTATTTCCTTTGACTTGGGTTGACTATGGACCAGGTGAGGTACCTTACAGGTGAGTTACGTGTATTTCCTTTGACTTGGGTTCACTACCTGGTCTTACCTTGTCTCTAGTGCCCAGAAACACACCTATGTTACCTGTACGGTACCTTACCTGGTCTTACATGTACCTTGTCTCTAGTGCCCAGAAACACACCTATGTCACCTGTACGGTACTTTACCTGGTCTTACCTGGTCTCTAGTGCCCAGAAACACACCTATGTTACCTGTACGGTACTTTACCTGGTAAAATTTAACTTGGATGACCTGATCCTTGAGACAATTTCTCTTCAAAATGCTACCCAGGAAAACTGCTGCCTCAGAAAGGGTATTAGGCTACTTAACTCTATTTTTCTCCTGCATTATCTAATGTAATGTACCATTATGCCAAGGGGCAGTTAAACTGGCCATATAGCATACAAATGCCAGCATCACCATATTCATATTAACTGTTTTTCATTCCAGATATCTGATACCGTATTTGGTCATCGAGTTATTTTCAGTTGAAATTTGCGCCATGAAAGCATAGATTTCTCTAAACTTTTTAAAACAAAGGTTTACGTTCCTCAAGAAAGCTTGAGTGCAACCATGGAAAAAGTCCTAAACGGATTACCTTCCGATTAAGGCTGTCCTTTCCATCAAGTACATTACCTCCAAACTGCACAGACCGTTCATTCTACAGTCGTTTTAGTCGTTACTCGGCCACTACTAGTACTGGGATTGTTAATGACAGGCGTGCGTTCAAGTATTATGGTGGGATACATGATTTTGATGCTGTGTATTTGCAGTTCATGTATTGTATACTGACTTGAACTACACTGAAAATAAAAGTCTGTTGAAACAAGAGTAAAAAGGTGTATTTTCAGCTTTAATAATAAATGAATTGTGCTAAAAATAATATACAATGCATTATCAATATACGGGAAATGTCCAGAGGTACTAGAGGTAATGAATCTAGTTACTATAAAATGTTATGCCTTAGGCCACACCAATTTAATTTCTTGGTTAACAGATTTTTCTAGAAAAATAATGGAGCGGGCGGGCGAAAATAAAAAAATAAAAACAGGCCTAGGCATCCTATTATGGAGCCATGAAGTAAATGCTGGTTCAAAATTTAAACAATGGATTTTGAACTTTTCATGATACCATTGCATTGAAAGATGGAATAACTGTAACAAGTAGGATGAAAATGACTGTTTTTAACTGTTAAGGGCAAATATGAGCATTTTGAGGTTGATTCTGAATTTTTTTTTATTTGCAAATTAGAAAAAAATGAAGCGGGCGAAGCCGTTAACCAAGAAATTAAATTGGTATGGCCTTAAACAGTTTTATAAATATTGTTATACATGTACATGCGACTCAGACAAATAGAAAACAAACAAGCAAACAAACAAATGCAGAATTTTCGTACAGTTCATCATACAATTTACTTCTACTAAGTTCTAGTTATTCTACCATTTGGAGAAACAACCTTTCAGAATTAATATAACATAAGTCAGGGTTCAGCATTCATGTTCTTGTTGAGAAGAAAAGCTGGCACTTCCAAGAATTCCAGAATGTGATGCATAGACATCTCCAGCTCCTGCTGTGTGATCAGTTTCTCCTTTTTGGCAAATGCACTGAAAAAAAGAGAAATAATCTAGGCCAGCAGTATATATATATACAGAGATGTCAATAACCAAAAAATTAGGTACAAAAGACCAAACGTATCTGAAGTGTATGGTCTTACCAGGTCTCAAGAGCTATGAACCATTACGAACAAACATTACCTGTATAGTCTTTTAGTTGAAGATAAAGGACAATGCAAATATACCTATACAGTAGTGCCATACCTGGTCCCCAGATAAAAAGGGGCCACATGCATGCATGCAAATGTATGGTACCTTACCTGGTCCCCAGAGCTAAGAGCTCTGCAAATATTACCTGTACAGTGCCTTACCTGGTCCCCAGATCTAAGAGCCACCCATATATTACCTGTACAGTGCCTAACCTGGTCCTCAGACCTAAGAGCCGCACAATTATTACCTGTACGATGCCTTACCTGGTCCCCAAATCTAAGAGTCGTGCATATATTACTTGTACAGTGCCTTACCTGGTCCCCAGACCTAAGAGCCGTGCAATTATTACCTGTACGGTACCTTACCTGGTCCTTAAACCCAAGAGCAGCGCAATTTTTTACCTGTACGGAACCTCACCTGGTCCCTAGTCTAGAAAATAAACTCTACTCACATGTACGGCACCTCAAATGGTCTACAGTCAGAGAAAATAAACTGTACTCACCTGTACGGCACCTCACCTGGTCTACAGTCAGAGAAAATAAACTGTACTCACCTGTACGGCACCTCACCTGGTCTACAGTCTAGAAAATAAACTGTACTCACCTGTACGACACCTCACCTGGTCCCTAGTCTAGAAAATAAACTCTATTCACCTATACGGAACCTCACCTGGTCCCCAAGTCTAGAAAAATTACTCTACTCACCTGTAAGGTACCTCACCTGGTCCATAGTCAACCCAAGTCAAAGGAAATACACGTAACTCACCTGTAAGGTGCCTCACCTGGTCTATTGTCAACCCAAGTCAAAGGAAATACACGTCAGTCACCTGTAAGGTGTCTCACCTGGTCTATTGTTGACCCAAGTCAAAGGAAATACACGTCAGTCACCTGTAAGGTACCTCACCTAGTCCATAGTCAACCCAAGTCAAAGGAAATACACGTAACTCACCTGTAAGGTGCCTCACCTGGTCCATTGTCAACCCACGTCAAAGGAAATACACGTAACTCACCTGTAAGGTGTCTCACCTGGTCTATTGTCAACCCAAGTCAAAGGAAATACACGTCAGTCACCTGTAAGGTGTCTCACCTGGTCTATTGTTGACCCAAGTCAAAGGAAATACACGTCAGTCACCTGTAAGGTGTCTCACCTGGTCCCCAGACCTGACAGCCCTGCAATTATTACTTGTACGGTGCAAATGTTTCCTGCATTAGCTGCCTTACCTAGTCCCAGAGCTAAAAAAAAAGAGCCCAGATGTAAGAGCCACACAAATATAACATTGATAACCAATTTGGTCCCCATTACCTACATGTAACGTTATATGGAGTGTTACCTGGTCCCCAGAGCTTAAATCCCCTCAAATATGATCTGAACTGTGCTTTTCCTTGTCCCCAGAGGTAAGAGCCACACAAATGCAGTGAATATAGACGTAAAAGTTGACGTTTTTGCACGTAAATGGAGGGAAAGACGCAGGTAGCCCTCCCCACACTACCGAAACTGAGGTATTGCTGCAGCATATGAGTAGCAGTCCAGCCCTACGCGTCACTTCCGGTGACCTCCAGTGACCTCCGCCTCGTTCTCGACCTCTACCCTTAGCCCAATGTGAAAAAGTATCTCCCTGGATGGTAGTCACAAGACAATCATTTTCTGCAAATTCAAGGACGAAAATCTGGTTTTTGCTGGTCTCTAAAACATCATGGCGAGCTTTGGTGAGTCTAGAGTTTATTAGGGCATAGAAATGGAATGTTTTAGTGTAAGGAAACGTCATTTAAAGTTGTGTGTGCGTGTGTGAGTTGGGGGGGGGGGTGTCAAATTTTTTTTCACAAAAACAAACACGCAGGGACAACAACAATAAATTAATATAACCGCAGAGAGAGGTGCACAAATAATTTATGTATTTCATCACGATCTTCAGTGGCTGGTTGGAGTTTCCCTGATGGGTGAAGCAGCTTGTAGGTGAAATTGACATGTAGTAAATAGTAGGTAGATCAGCCTACAAAGTACAAGTAGTACAACTAGAGCAGAGGCCCATGGATCAGTTTAATGGCTTGAGATCCTGAAAAGGAATGGACTCTAAAGCTAGTAGAAACCGATAAACAACTGTCTGGATTGGTATCTGCAATGAGCTACAGGAAAAGGTACAAAGAGGAAGGACAAACCTTTACAAGTTTACTCACTCTTGGAGGAAAAAAAATTCATACTTGTTCAAAGAATGGTAGGTGATTGCACTTAACCACCATGCGAACAGCACAGTAATTCTTTTTGGAACTTCATATTGACTCCAGCAGTTTTCTTTAATTTGTTCTGTAATCTTTTTTTAGACTGTCCACCCAGACTGACTTCTTTGTGTTCTCTTTTCTCTGTAGCTCATTGGTCGGTGTGACAAGGCAGTCGTGAACAGAACTGCCATCAGAACAACTTTCTGTCACAGAAAAAAAGCAGAGAAGAAACACCACTGGTGACCAGGAATCATTCACTGTGTTTCAAAATCTCATATTTTCACAAGAAACTCTTTGAAATTGTAAAACTGGGGCATCCTGGTAGAAGAAAATGTAGTCCTGCAAAGAGGGAACCTTTGTTCAACACAGTCAGGTCAGTGCGTGACCTTACCAGTGTTGGCCTGCTGAACAGGGACACCTAGAAACGCAGTGTGAAGACAAGCTGACTGCTGCCCACCTCTGTCAGTCTGTGTCAGGGACTCCTGTAGTAGTATATACTGGATACTACATACATACTAGTACATACTGGGTACTACAGAAGTATTACTACTACTATCAGGATGCACAGCGTTTCCTGTGCCAGTACTAGTCTTGCCAGCATACTGACAACCAGTAGACTTCCATGGAGAAGACACTGCTTTAGTTCAGTACTGCACAGATGTTTCAGCAAGACTTCGTCACACATTTTAGAAAGAGACAGGGAGAGAATTCAAGTACACAGATGTTTCAGCAAGTCTGCCGCATCTCACAAAGAAAGAAACAATAACAGAAAGAGATACAACCGGGCCACGGAGGTCAACTTTGACAACTTTGGCGCCTGGAACAACCGACTTAACTTGGAGATTCTGATGCAGCAGAGCATCAAGCACGGCAAGCCCATCCCGCGGATCCAGCTGGACCAGGTCGGTATCTGTAAACTCTGAACTTCTAACTCTAAACATCATTTAAACAATATTTAAGCTCACCAATTCCCTACTTTGCTAGACTGCTGAATGATTCGAATACTGCCTGATTTTGTAGCATGAGGACTTTTTAAGATTTCGATTATATGCTGTTTGCAAATATGAGTATTTTTAGTGTAATTAAGAATTGTGATTTTAAGTACATGTAAAGGAGTGTGCAATTCAGTCTGCAGACTGTGAAATGCTTCTTGTTGTTTTACTACCATAAATAAACCATTCATTCATTTTAAACTATCTAATAACCATGCCTCTGCTGTACTTGGTGACAGTGAGTTCACTCTGTCAGTCTGTGATAGTTGAAGAATAGAAAAGAATGAGTTTTTGAACACCTCAATCCTTGGTTGATAACTCTGGTACTTGAAGGCATGGCTTTTTCTTCTTCTTTTCTCGGCTGGTATTTAGCAGTTGGTACATCCACCAGTTTTTTAGTCATTTTGTACTTTATGCATAGTCTGGAAATTTTTCGTCCGTCTTCCAGCGACACCCACTGTAGGTTTCTTTTCATTTCCTTGACACTAGCACATCTTTCATAGTTGTTCATACAGAATCTTGCAGCTTGATTCTGTACCCTTTCCAGTTTGTCTTTCTTTGTATATGGATCTTACAAGTGATGTATGCAAGTGATTTTACTGTAGTTGGGCATGCCCACAGATTACGTTTGATCACTCCCAATGTCTGTTTAGCTTTAGTTGTGATATTACTAACATGTGCACCCACTGACTGCTTGACAATGTACGTTTCTTTTGATTTCATTTCAGGTGGGCTGGGCCTCCGAGCTTGGGAGACGGAAGGAGAACGAGGACAGGATGAGCATGGATGAACTTGAACCCAACCTGCTGTACTTCGCCCTGTTCGACGGGCACGGGGGCAGCCTGACCGCGGACTACTGCCAGCACCACATGGCTCTACACATCAGGTATGGAATGAACAGATGAATGAAAGGTTTCTTGATGAAAACTGTCTTACACATACCAAATAGCCTCTACCTGCAGGCTTTGGGGAAATTGGCCAATTATTATAGACAGATAACATGCCAGTGGAGTTGGTTAGCTTCAGAATGGCAAACTGTACACTTTAACAGGTCAACTCCCCTGGCATCTTGTCTATTTAGCCAATTTTTACTTCTTCCAGACGCTTTCCAAAGCCTATTAGAAACTACATAGCAGCCATAGGCTGACTGTTTTACTTATATCCTTCACATGAAACAAGTTATAAAAAAACCCACACTACTTGTCTATTAGTATCACACATATTAGCACTATTAGCTCTGTGTGCACTTGTTTGCCTTCGGAATGTTCAGTTTGTGTCCATTCAGAGATGTAGATAACAGGAGGTACTGGCTGCGCCAGGAGAAGGACCTACAGACATTTCTCCGTAGAGCGTTCACGGAACTGAACAACCTGTACACGCGCCACCTGTACCACCACGTCATGTCTTGCAGATAATTTGACATATAAAATCTGTCTGGTTTCACAGGTACTGGTTGCGCAGGGAGAAAGATCTACAGACGGTTCTCCGTAGAGCGTTTACGGAACTGAACAACCTGTACACGTGACACCTGTACCACCTTGTCATGTCTTGTAGTAGATAATTTGACTTTTGAAATCTGTCTGGTTTCACAGTTACTGGCTGCGCCGGGAGAAGGACCTACAGACGGTCTTGAGAAGAGTGTTCACGGAACAGAACAACCTGTACACGCGCCACCTGTACACTGTACTATCACGAAATAAAGTTTAGCAAATTATCATCATAACTATGACTTCCCTAATGTTCTGAAATCTGTCTGGTTTCATAGGTACTGGCTGCGCCGGGAGAAAGACCTACAGACAGTTCTCCGTAGAGCGTTCACAGAACTGAACAACCTGTACACGCGCCACCTGTACCACCACGTCATGACCGAGGGGGACGTTCCTCCGTGCGGGACGACCGCGACGGTCTGCCTGCTGCGTAACGGGAACGAGCTGGTCGTGGGGAGCGTCGGGGACAGTCGGGCGGTGCTCAGCCGGCGCGGGCGCGGGATCAGTCTCACCCAGGACCACCAGCCGGACCGGAAGGGCGAGCGCGACAGGATCAAGAAGGCGGGAGGGTTCGTGAGCTGGAACAGCGTGGGGAGACCGCAGGTCTGTATCTGTGTTTGTACAAAATGTATTTGTATACGCAAAAAAGCTGTTACTCAAGCAACTGGATATGATTTTGGAAACGGTCAGACGTTTCAGCTAGTATCCACTAGCTTTCGTCAGTGACTGAGAGACCAGAGGAAATGCAGGTTTATAAACACAACCTATTGATTGATATGAAAATAAAGTGAAGACAATTTTTTGGAAGTCGAAAAGGGAACAAAAGTCAGACAAGTCAAGAGAAGATGATGCAAATTAGTCTGAAAGCTCCTGTTATAAAGAACAGGAGACACGCTCGTTGTGTTTGTTTTATCGTTACAACTGCCCTCAATATATAGAATCCTTGGTTGATAACTCAGGTATTTTCAGGTCTGACTGTTTCTTGTTTTTTTTCTGTGCTGATACCAGGTCTGTGGGCGGCTCGCCATGACGCGGAGCATCGGCGACGTCGAGCTCAAGGGCTTCGGCGTCACGTCCATCCCGGAGACGCGTTCCATCGAGGTCGACCACGGCAAGGACGGGTTCCTAGTCCTCGCGTCGGACGGAATCTCCTTCGTGATGAGCGACCAGGAAATGTGCGACTCCGTCAGCCGGTGCAAGAACCCGCCGGAGGCGGCGCACTTTGTCGCCGACCAGGCGCTGACATTCGGAACGGACGATAACGTGACCGCCATGGTGGTGCCGTTCGGAGCCTGGGGGAAACACAGCGGGACTGGAACCATCAACAGCTTCCACCGCAATTTCATCAGTTCCAGTCGAGCGTAGAAATCATACAAAACATTAGAATGTTGGATGTGAAAACATGATGTTTGGAACGGACGATAACGTGACCGCCATGGTGGTGCCGTTCGGAGCCTGGGGGAAACACAGCGGGACCGGAACCATCAACAGCTTCCACCGCAATTTCATCAGCTCAAGTCGAGCGTAGCATAGTCTCCTCTGCTGCAGTACTACTTATTGTTGCTCTGAAGGAGTTGACAGACGGTCACTGAAATGTCAGATATGAAGACCTGACGTTTGGGAAACACAGCGGGACCGGAACCATCAACAGCAATCATCACCGCAATTTCATCAGCTCAAGTCGGGCGTAGTCTGCTCTTGACTTGACTTATGTCGGGCGCCAGTCCTCCAGTGTTCTACTCATGTTAAAATTGGTCTCCTTTGATGAATAATTTCATCAGGTTGACATAAAGACAAAGGTTGGCAAGAGACTGTAAGAAGGTTCTTTATTCAACAACCAGTAAGTTTTTAGATCTGATGTTTTGGTGACATTCGATCGGTCAGTCTGAGGGGTGTCTGAGGAGTGTGTTCTGACTGAGCATATTGTCTTTGTTTAAACGCGAGTATATACCGGAGTAGAGTAGTGAGAGGCTCCATACTATGGCTGGGGACACCTTCAGGAGAAAGAGGAGGCGGGACAAAGGACAGCCACATAAGGGGCGCTTTCAGCCAATGCACAGTCCAGCAAAGAAACGGGCCATCACTGAAGATGACGAACAGCAAGTTGAAGAGATAAGGCGTCACAAGAAGGACGTGTGGCAAAGGGCACGTGACGAGGACGTCAACGCTACCCCAGGTACATGTAGGCTGCGACCTGTTCCCTCTGAACCCACAGAACTAGAAAAGTTGAGCGTGGAATGTGATAGCAGTGCACGTGGAGACAACATTCCAGACGAGCGCTCGTTTCATGTTCCCCTCCTGATGAGGCTGATGAATGACTTTATGAGTCAGCACTCCCAGGACAGTCCGACGTGCCTGGTACCTTCATCAGGACAACAATGACTCGTTCTGATTCATGCTACACTGACTGATAAATGCAGTACATGTACTAGTCATAAAGAACCTTCTTATACAGGTCTCATTTTAGACTGTTTTAGGTGAATGGACTATGTTGCATAACTTTTGTATGTCTCAGGCATTTAGAATTAGATTGGCACTTAGTCTTATACATGTAGAATGATACACATTGAAATAAGTATGTGCTGGGAACTCAGGGTCACTGTTGTATTGTGACTACACTCTGGCTTATGATAAAAATTTGATACTTTGAGGTATGTATGAGTATATCAATGAAGGTCAGACATCCAGGTAATAAGAAGTAACGGTTATCTTGGTGATGTGTTTTACCCTTTTCAGTACCTTTCAGTATTTTAAATGATGGTGTGATAATTATCTGAAAAAAGAACAGTTCTGTAATTTCACTTCTTCATTCATGATGTGCAATGGATAAATGTCTAGTGCAAATAAAAGGATTGTACTTCTATATGCTGCAAGTCATCATCATTAAGGTACAAATATGTAGGTATGTACTGTGGTGACTTATTCATCATTTTGTTGCTTGAATATAAATATTACAATATACAGTGAAAGACACCTTCTGGATGGATTGTTCATTTTGATAATAAAATTAATCATGTACTTTGGTGGAAACTGTCCAAAGAAATTTGAAACCTGTTACGCTATACATATTGCGGTGCCTAAATTTAAAACCTGTTACACTATAGCTATACATATGGGGGTGCCTATATTGTACAGATGATGACAAAATACATAGAAAAATATTATAGTTTGTCTTGTGTCTTGATTGTTTTTGTATACCACATAGATTGGTAGTTAAATGTGTCAGTGTTCGAAATACATGTCTGCAATCTGCAGGTAGATTTTCAAGATTGCAGAAGAAAAATTTATACAATCTGCAATTTTGCACAAGGAAAAATTGGCACTTGGGATTTGGCAATCTGGCTTCCTTACTAATTTGCATCAACCTTGTCTTGACTTGTCTATATTTGTTTCCTTTTGGACCTCCAAAAATTTGTCTTCACTTATTGCATATCAATCAATAGTTTGTGCTTATAAACCTGCATTTCTCCTCTAGTCTCTCAGTCACTGATGAAAGCTAGTGGATACTAGCTGAAACGTCTGACCGTTTCCAAAATCATATCCAGTTGGTTGAGTAACTGCTTTTTGTTTAACCAATTATGATGAACCAATAGCATTCTATGTTGTAATTCAGTTAACACAACTATATCCCATCTTATTTTTCTTACAAACAAACGTCCATTGTCTTACAATCCCAAGGTGACACGTTCTGGCTGGTGGTGGTGTCTGTGTTCTGGGGAGCGACAAACCCCCTGCTGAAGAGAGGCAGTGCCGGGATCCAGGACATCAGGAAGGACAGTGCCATCTGGCAGTTTGTGGCAGAATTGCAGTTTATGGTCTGCAATGTCAAGGTACACAGCTGCTTTGAACAAGGATTGTATTTAACCTTGCTTTGAACTTGCCATCTAAGGCTACCTACATGTTAGCACTATGTAGTATGTACATAATATCTTCAAATCTATTTCTTAATATTACATATATCTAGAATGGCAAGGAAATTAGATGAAGCAATTCTTTGCACCTTATACATTTAGTAATAGATATATGCATGAATTTATATGTTTTGTCTTTCTTTGTTCACTATTAACACTACAGGTAATGATATTCTACCTTAAGACTCTGTTTTAGTAAACTAGACTACTGTACTTTATTTAGCCCATGTGTGGGCAAGAACATACAAATAAAGATCATTATCATTCTTATTACAGAAATAAGGTTTCTCTCTGTACAGTTGCACATTGCATGTATTTGTCTGATACATGTAGTATAAACTACTATTTTCCCCCTCTCAGTACCTTGTTCCCTTCCTGATCAACCAGTGTGGGTCTGTGGTGTATTACCTCACTCTGGCATCTGCAGGTGAGCTGGGTTCACTTTCACAACTGCTCACCTTAGGCCACACCAATTTAATTTGTTGGTTCTCGGATTTGCCTCTTCGTTTTTTTCTGATTTACAAAAAAAAAAAAAGATTCTGGTTCTAACTAAAAATGCTCATATTTTGCCCCCAACAGTTGAGGAAAGTCCTTTGAAATTCTTCCTAGTTTTTACTGAGTTTTTCCATCTATCAATGCAGTGGTTTGATCACAAGTTCAAAATTCATTGTTGAAATGTTAACCCAGCCTTTTCTGTTGACTCCATGGCTCCTATCGTAGCGTTACGGGATATTAGTATAATAGGATGCCTAGACCTTTTTTTTTTTTTTCACCCTGTCACTTCATATTTTTTCTGAAAAAATCCGAGAACCAACAAATTAATTTGGCGTGGCCTTAGATTCAGATTTGTGGAATTCCTGTGTTTAAGTTTGATAAGTGGCCACATGTCGGCCTGTTTGAGCATTTGGTGTAGTGAAGTAAAGAAATTGTTACACTTCAACTGTAAGGGCATTGTGTTTTGACATAGTTTGCTATATCTTGAGAAATGTTTGAAATTAGCCCACCTCACTGGTTAGGAGAAACGGCCCTGAATTTACCACTACAGTTGCCTACAGATATTTCATATTTTACCACTCTAGAATTATTAACAACATGAGACAGAAGTCTCATTGTCTTCAAATTGCCTGGTGTTTATGGAGGTTGAATCCTTTGAAGTCCCTGCATTTTACATAAATGGTATTCTGAAGTACATGTACGTGTATCTGCAAGACAGTACTTGAACACACAATAACAAGAAGCTGACAATTGACATGTAATATATTGAATTAGTAGTAGATGGAAACATATGTTATAATGTTAGTGTGAGAAAAACATCAAAGGCATGTTTATTGAATTAGCCTGCAACTGTAAACAGCAAGGATTAACTGTATTTTGTACGTACAATTAGATTAAATCTAATCTTAGCAGAATTAAGTACTTTCCTTTCAGAAAGGTAAGTAAGACTGTTTTGAATTGTTTTTGTATTTTTTTTCTCCTTGAAAGGGTGACAAAATTGCTAAAAAGGAACGGGAAACTAGAAAAAAAAAGGTTCTTGACCCCAGTCTATACATGTATGTCTATGTCCAGAAGAATAACCCTATGCCATGAAATGCCCAGGCTGTTGATACAACCTACACCATTGACTACTTGTTTGTTTGTTTGTTTGTTTGTCTGTTTGTTTGTTGTTGAGTAAAGAGACTCTTTTTACACAACCAAGTCTTTTATTCAGCCAACATTTTGGTGACCGTCTGTCACCTTCCTCAGGTCAATTCTGAGGGCAATTCAGTGTCTTACCAACCTGATGAAACTATTCACGGATTTATTTGTTGTCTTTTTAGTGATATCTCCCTCGCAGTCCCCATCAGTATTGACTACTTGTTTGTTTGTTTGTTTATTTATTGTTTATTTGTTGACAGATATCTCCCTGGCAGTCCCTATCACCAACTCTCTCACCTTCCTCTTCACAACTCTGACAGGCAGTCTGTTGGGGGAGAAGGTGGGGAACAGAGGTGAGGTCTACTCTAAGCTGAGGTCTTATTAATTAGTATTAATATTTACACTGACCTGTATCTCTTGATGATGTCAGTTTCAGATTTTATTGAATATTGACTGGCATGTCACATTAAGTGCATAAAATATGTCGAGTATTTACAACTTTCACCCAGTTATTACAAATAGATAACATAAAATCCTACATATATCTGTATTGTAGCGATAAAATACATCATAAAAACTTATCACATTAAAGAATACAACAGCTAAACATTCTAAAATGTAGATACTGTTTGAATGTAGATATTGTTTGAATCCTCAATTCAATAAACACAGTCACTCGGTTTTCACTGACAAAAACACTCACTTCCCCGAAAACCCACTCAAAGACTCAATAACTCGCTCAAAAACGCTTCAGAAATCATTCAAAAGTCTCTCATAAGCTCACTAACTCAAACACTCCTCAGAAAAAGCCACTCACTGGTTAAAGATAAAAAAAAGTACTGTAAGCTGCATAGACCTGAGACCTTGAGTGGCTAGACTTCTACTAGTATGCTTGATGTATTTTTCTCATGTGTTTCAGATACAATCCTGGGGATGGTACTGGTGTTATTTGGAGTGTTCCTATGTGTACTGGATAAGACATGATACATGTAGCTATGGCCTGTTGGAGGAACAGTCATCACATTTTGTTCCTGTGGAACATGACTGTATTATTCACCTTTCAATAAATATCCCATCACAAGCAAGAACCATTGATGCTCTGTTAAGATATTAAACACTTAGAATATCCAATAGACCCCCATTCCACCAGACAGCGATCTCTGAGTGACTGTACAGTGTTCAAAATTAGATTTGTGTTACCCTTCACTTTGTACGTAAGATGACGTTATCCACACATGTATTTAGCTTTGTTAGATCTTTAGTTAAGTTGTAGAAGACCATACAAAAGTCTCTGTACTTTTTTTGGTGTGTCAATAAAGAATCTGTATCTGCCAAGACATGATGACTTGTACCAACACAGACGAACTTTCATGCTAACTTTTTATTTCTTTACCACCTCACGGGGACATTGATGTATTCTTCACTTTTCAATAATATCATATCACAATTAATGTGCAGGAACAATGGATGCTCTGTTAAAAAATATTACTGACAAATAAAAAAAACCTCACACAGACCCCCATTCCACCAGACAGCGACTGTACAACGATCAAAATTAGATTTGTGTGACTCTTGATTTTGTTATTGGAATAGGATAGACGATGTTAAAAGTATGATAAGACAACAATACACCATGACAAACGTAACAAAAATCGTTCTTTATCTATCTATGAAATTTTTGAGCGGCCTTTAAAATATTTGGTCACTCAGCGACGGCAACCAGTTGTAACCAGGACCAGAAGAAAGTGGTTCAAGACGGCAGAAAGTCCTTTTTGTAGAGAGGACTTTTGCGGAGTATTAGTTTCCCATTGACACAAGAATTAAAATTCCTGTCTATGGTAAACACCTGTAGCCTGGGTGCCATCCGATTTGTAAGGGATTTTTTCGGGGTTGCCGTTACAAATCGGATGGCATCCAGGCTAAACCATCTGTCCACATAGACCAAATTTTTTTAGCTATAGTGGTTTTGGTCAGTTTTGACTGTACAGGTACTACCTCGGTAACCAGGAAAGCTGTTCAAGAGGGTGGAAAGTCGCCTTTTTAGAAGGCCCTTTACAGAGTGTTAGTTTTCCATCAAACATGAAGAGATAAGGATCTAGCCGTTCCTTCAGTCACGGTTTTTTTCTCTTGAAGATGACTCCGTCGTCACTAGATGTAGTCCGTGTTGAACACCTCACCATGGGGACCTTATCCAGAACCTACTCTCCAAGCAGAGGTTTGGGTTTGGGGTTATTTTTAGCGTGTGTTTAGGCCTTTTTTATGGGGATTTCTCTTTTGCTAAGAGAAGGGTTCGGTGGAAAAAAATCCAGTGCAACAGCTAGAGAAACCCCGATAAAAAAGCCTAAAAACACGCTAAAAATAACCCCAAACCCAACCTCTGCTTGGAGAGTATCTAGAACCGCGCTTTATCCACAACCATGCTCAGGCACGGTAAAGTATCAGTATAGCAGGTATAACCGCCCCTCGGCATAACACACCAGCTTCTGTATCTGTATAGCCGGTATAACCGCCCCTCGGCATAACACACCAGCTTCGCAGGCACGCGGCGCGGCGGCAGCTAGCTATATCACACCGAACGACTTGTTACACTCAATACTTGCACATTTAGTTGCAGGAGTTGTTTAAAGCTTTCTATTGATGAGGCCCCAACTGTGCTTGGTGGCAACGAGTTCCGGTCTACGATAGTTTTTGGGAAATACGAGTTTTTGAAGAACCTCAATGTGAAGTTCTGGATAGTCCACTCGTATCGTATCCAGAACCGTTCCAAATCTACGTTTTTTTTTTTCTTTTTTTATTCCAACATGTAATCAACAGACGTGGTGACGGCACACTCAAGTTTTTTCAACTTATATTAATGCCGCCACCAACACAGGGGACAAATACATGACAGGACAATACTCATTTTCACCGATCATTTTGAGCGAAGTACGGGAAAGTCGTGTAAAGTGCCTTTCCCAAGGGCAAAAGATCGGCACAAATCTACGTTCTTGACTATCCAGAAATGTAACCCATGCAGACACAGAACTACATGTAAACAGACACGGTTCGGGACGCAATAGTCACCAGATGTAGTGCATGTTGAATATCTCACCATAGTGACTTCTATACGCGCGCACAATGGGAACGGAACCGCCGGTACTAATCCATAGTTTGTAACGGGTATCGCTTACCATGTCATACAGATATTCCTTTTCACATTTGTAAAGACCACACATGCTTGCTTAACCCCAATACTGTCAATACAACGTATCCAAGTCTGTATCACCCGCACTCTGCTGGCCAGGCGGCCGAGTAAGGAATTTGTCTGAATGTTTTGACATTATATTTCGTTTTAGTTTTTTTTAGCACGTAAAATTCCTGTCTATAGTGACCACCTGTCCACATACTAGACCAGATTTGTTCATTTCTTTACATTTTCTTCTTTTCCGGAATTGATTTCGACATTCTATGACAAGTATCGGTTTGCAAGCCCTTTTTTTTCAACATACGACATATATTCGCTCATTTTGTACGATTTACAGTATGATCGAAAACGTTTTTGAGGAATGGACGAAACTTCGCGCGCGGATGTCATCTATATTATCAAATCAACATTGCCTTACATGTACCTTACCTGGCCTTTCCTTATCTTGCCAATAGTCAGCCAATAATGTGTATCGTGCTTCTAGGGTGATTAGTCTGTCCTCTAGTCTTATTTTTTTACTTTGTATATTATTGTGTTAGTATTTCATATTTGTCTGTAATTGTTAGTTTTAATGTTGAACTTGTAACTGTTATTTTTAGGTATTTAATGTATAATGATATGGATTTTATCGAATTACTTAGCAATTTTAATGTCTTATGCCAGATTAGTCAAGAAATCAAATTGTACAGCAAGACACAATTTAGCCAACGGCTACAAGGTCTTGTTTTGTTTTCACAAATAAACCATTTGATTGATTGATTGATTGATTGTCTGTTTTGCCGTTTCATGAAACCGCTCTGTACAGATTAAGTTGAAATATTACTTTTCCTAAATATCTCATCCAAGAGGTGTGTTTCGATAACCCTGTGTGAAAGAAAACGCATTGTTTGAACGGCAAGATAAGGTCTGGCTAAAGTTGAACGCATGTCATTAAGTAAATATTACTGATGCATTTTATTGTTAACTTGTCAACATATGTCTGTTTCCTAGAAAACAATCAGAATACGGCAAATAGAAGAACGATAACAAATTATTTAAGTTGAAAGTGTCACTAAGTAAATATTACTGATGCATTTTATTGTCAACATACATGTATGTGTGTTTCCTAAAGAACAATCTATCAATCGATGAGGCAAAGACAGGAACAACCATGAGTTCTTTAATCATTGAAAAAACTTGACTTTTCATAGTTTTTCTAACAAGGAAGGGCGAAATTATTCTCATTTTGAAGTAGGGACGTAGCTATATTGTAACCTTACAATCAAAGTACAGATGTCAGTGTTACAACTGTGGCATTGCCTCTGAACTCGATCTCTATATACGCTTTAAGATAACAGCGCACGAATGATATTCTGTTTACTTTTCACGCACAATACATTAATTGCCTGCTGTTGTAGTTGATACTTACTTCTGACTAATGTAAAGTCCACCGCTCAGAGTCAGAAGTAGGATCGGAAAGCGCGTTAAATGCATTTTGTATTGAATAGCAAAGTTCTTTGATCACAACCTTTTATTTTTCACAAGCCGACGTTTCGATGACCGTCTGTCATCTTCATCAGGGCAATTCTGACTGGTTTACTGTGCACTGACGCTCGATGTTACATGGACTATGTAACACCTTTAGTGCACTATACACCAAGTAACATGTAGCGTCAGTGCACAGCAAACCAGTCAGAATTGCCCTGATGAAGATGACAGACGGTCATCGAAACGTCGGCTTGAAAAATAAATGGTTGTGATCAAAGAACTTTGCTATTCATTCGTTTGTTCACAGACGGTGAGTAATGTCCCTCACGTCATGACACATCTTTCCTCGCCGGAAACCTGGTGTCGGGTTCGCGTACTTGACATTCAAGACGGTTCACCGCAAAAAGTAATGAAGCGCGTAAAGTTTATTGAAGTTCAACCTATCCCTAAGCCGTCTACCTATGAAGAAATCACAGCTAGTCTTCCTAGAGAGAACACAAGTACATAACAGACATAGGGTTTTAATACATCGACGTACAACTAACATTAACTCACGTTACATAATGTTTTTTTTTCTATTATTGCGAAATAAAAACATATGGGAAGTTTGAAGTACTCTGAGAAATCGTTCGCACGCACAGAACTCTAAGAGAAGTCTCTTCGCGCGCTTTCTTAAGTTTCGACCACTTCAGTCTCCCACACACAAGACGTTCACGCCAACTTTTCTTGTTCCTTGAGTACTCAAGACGCGAGAAGCGAACAATGATTTTTTAAGTGGTAAGAATCACAGAATTTCCGGACTTTTGAACTGATCTGACGTCACTATTTCCCCCCGTGCGTAACCTACAGGTAAGTTTGCTCTAAGTTCACACAACTCCGCGACAACCGCCGCGCGACGACGTTGCTAGGACGGGAAAAAATTCTCCCGTTCAGAGTCCAAAATAAAAGCGTACATAAATGTTTACTTTCGCCCATCGGCCTGAATGAGTGGGTTATATGAAGAGAACTGCACGACAGAAGAAACAACCGTGCGGTGAATACGAGGGCACGGGCAGGACTAATAGATGTCGGGTTGTTATGGACAAAGTAAACCGGCCTTTGTTGTGCACGAAAGGGGACACTGGGCAGTGGTAACTGGATAGAGCATCGTTATGGAGCGGGGGTTCGGGCACAAAGCCAGGCTTGTTGTTCCGTGCCACGGGGCCACTCGCTGCTAACAATCACGGGATGTCTGTGGATCTGTCCTGCCGGTGAAGAATCGGGCCGGCCCGCGATTATTTACCCTCAAACAAACCAGGTGAGCGATCGGGTGACCGGTGGTCTGTTTTGTGTGCAGTAGTGAGAGAGTGAGAGAGAGTAAAGATGGCGGACGGGCAGGAGTCGACGCTAGTAGGGCTCTCCCCCGCCACATGTCGACAGCCACACGGACTCTGAGGACGCCACAGCCTGGCTACCATGGGGGTAGAGACAGGTACAGATCCGGACGGGCACGGCAGTCTGTCGCGGAAAACCCCCTCGGCCTCGCAAGGGTCGATTCTGAAGCGGGACCCGAGCAGTAAGACTGTGAGGACACGGGGCTCCTCCACCCCGAAGAAGTCGGTGTCGTTCGACCCGACTCCCGAGGTTTTTTTCGTGCCTAGCCGGTGCGAGAGCCGGACAGAGAACAACCCAGGCGCCCGAGTGAGTCCGCAATCACCGACAGACGTCTCCACGTACCTCCTACACTACCAGGGGAGCAACTACGAGAGGACTAAGTCTTTAAAATGGGACTCGGGAGGTACGAGTCACAACGTGGTGACACAACCCCCGGGACTGTCCATAGCGGGACCCACGGGAATACACGCCGAGTTGTACAGCGTAGCGGCGTCTCTGTCCAACCTCGTACCTCGCCGCCGGCTCAGGGACTTACTGGTGAACACCGAGGACTTGCAGGAGAAGATGAAAAAATTCCAGGAGGACACGGACGACACATCAACCGGGGAGGGAACTGGCAAAGACGCGAAAGGTGGGGACAGCAAAAAACCGGAGCCAGCCAGAACTATACCGTTAGCAAAACCCACCCGTCAGATCAAACCGTTCAGGATTAACATCACCAGTAAATACAGCCAGCAAACGGAAATAAGAAGACCGGCGGCACCGGTGATAGTAGACCTCAAACCTAAGAGAAAACCGAAGAATTTCGAGGAACAGCCTTCGGTGTTTAAGAGATTGTACTTGCACTCTCATCCGAACGAAGCCGGACCTCCTAAGGAAGAGGTGAAGATACCAGAGATACCCAGTAAGAAGTCGACGCGGCCCATCACTGCCAAGAGTTCGCGGAGTGACCGTAACCTCGCGGCTCCGCCTATCAGAAGCCGCGACAGGGACAGAGATAGAGACAAGGAGAAGCATCATCATCATCACCACCATCATCACCATCACAAGGATAAGGACAAAGACAGGCACAGAGATGCTGACAAGGAGAGGGAGCGACAGAAGGCTAGGGAGAGACTGTACGGTACAGCGAGCCGCGGCAACTCTAGACCTAAAGCGGCGAAACCGACGCCTGACAGACCTCCTCCGAGGCCGCCGCCTACAACCCCGCCGGCTAGAGCATCCAGGCGGCCGCCCAGTCGCAGCGCAAACGTTCCCGTCGCACCACAACAGCCTGCCCAGCCCAAACCCGTGGAAAGGACGAGACCGCCTCCGGACGACCGCGCGAGGTTATTCCCCAGGACTGCATTGGAAAAGTTCGTCATGGCGGAGCTGCAGCGTTCGCGTATCTCTCACATGGTGCCCTCGGCCGCCGGGCAGTCGAACCGCGGGTCGCCCAAGGAGGAGTTATCCAGAACTGCGCGCCCGACGCCTGCTTTCAAACTTCCCGACAGCGGGGTAAGACATATCGGATACGCTAGCACCAGGGAGAGGAAGGTTTCTTGGAGAACAGGTGAGGTAGAGACGATAGAGACAGGCTCGAGCAAGCACACGCCCATCATGAAGCGGTTCAGTATCGCCTTCAGGTCGCCCGTCAAGGTGTAGGTAGTTGTAACAATAACGGCGTGGTCACTTTCGTCGTAGGGACGTCGCACGATTCAAATTTATTGTCGTAGGATTGTCGTACAAGCAGGCTGAGACAGAGCCAGCTACCGACAAGAATCTAAACTTTCGGTACCAAGCTTAATTTTGTTCGACATATGCACAACTATCGCCAAAATACTTATTATTATTATTTTGTTGTTATTCAGAAATACAGTAATAAATACAAATGAAAGGACACTGACAAAGTGACTGCGAACTCAAGTTTATTGCACAGCTTTTATTTTCGCAGCCACTTTTACAGTGAAAAATACATTTAAGGTACAACAAGACGTTTGAGAGATCGCAAAATAGTTTTATTTTTTAATCGTGAGACGATTGTATGACGATTGTGACCTGGTCGTATCTAAGTCTGTATGTACGGTGTTCTTACGTGACTTGTGTTAATCCATGTTACATCATTGTGATGCTTTATTCATCCCGAGTTACCTGACTTCCCTTCCACCGCGGTTGCCTCGGTGATCGTCTTGCTTACCCGTCTCACCTTCCCCGGCCGAACAAAAAGAACGGGAAGACAATCCAACCCCGCCATGGCGCATTCCACAAGTTGAGTACCCTTCAACAAAGATCCAACCACGGTCGACTGGAGTCCGACAAAGTGAGTGATGACAATCGAGTGGCTCTCAGAACATCAGTACGTCAATTTCATGAATCAGCAAACACCAAAACTGTATTAAATCATATCCCAACGTCGGCCAATGTTTGGATGACGGAAGGGGAGGGGTAGCTGAGTCACTATTGTGAACGGAAGAATCACCAATGTTTTTGCAGTGTCACGTATCATTCGACTAGGGTGACAAATGTTGTAAAACGTCCCTCTTCTTTTTATTGTACCATCCTTAATGCAAACAAACATGGACAAATTCGGATTTCTGTCCCCCCAAAAATCAGTATCCACAACTCCTATGCCCCCAAACCACAATTTAGTCAACCGTGTTTTCTGTCGAACCATGTTAACGAAAAATTGATCATGAATGTTGTTTATTTGATGTGTCAGAGACGAGGCACCAAAAGTTTGGGTGGCCCTGACCTCCTTTTCCATCGTGTGCGGCTAACCTTGTTCACTCACTGTCATGCTGCACAAATTTACGGATTTGTAAAGATATGAAATATGTTTACGTCGTATTTAAGCACACTGGAAGGTGGCGGAAAGGCGGAACTTGCTTTCAGCAGCCTTTACGAAGTCGTAAAGTCAACTGAAATATTTTCTCACCTTTAATACTTCTTTACATATTGCGGAAAGTTTGCTTAAATATCTGTTTTCGTGCTGTGATGGGCAGCAATTAGATTTTTATGGAAAGGTCCACATTTTCACCTGATTACTAAAGAGACGACGAGAAAAAAGAGGCCACAGTAGTGGTAAAGCACCAGTCACATACATCGTACAAATCACCTTAAATGTTTTTTTCCGTGTTGACATGGGCATACGTCTGCAGGTTTGAAAAAACAACAACAGGTGCAATAGTTTAATGTTTAATCTATTGCACCTGTTTCTTCTCAAATCTACGACTCATGGAACGATCATCACGTAATATCCTCTATCGTAGGTGCACTGTAAGATACTTGCGACTGGGGCTTTACGTACATCTATTTCACGTAATTGGCAAACTGAAAGCTGTACTTTACTATTCCAAAACTGTATTTACGTTTGACAACCTTCCCAAATTGGTTTTCTCTACCAGCCTCGTAACCCCTGCTTCTCCTATTGGGTCAGTTAGTCCTCACTACTTGTGAGAAATTGGGCTAGTCTCAATCATGGTGTTTCTGACTCAGGGAGAAGAGTTGCTGTTACAGTTAATCTCGGTAACCCGTAACCCAGGTGAGTGGTGATACCATTCAGGTGGTAGCACCGTTCACCTTGAAGTGGCCTAACGGCCGTGTTACGTGGCGACCACTAAGTAAAGAAAAAAAAACGTAACAGTAGTTATCTGCATGTGCCTCATGTACGTGCACGATCGTCCGAACTGGATCCGGCCGGATCCGTACATTATTCTTCTCTGTCCCGCTGACAAAACAACCACCTGTCACACCGGCCACAAAACACCGTGTATTCACAGGTGGGACCGCCAGCAACCCGAGACGCAGGCCTTTTCCTGCCCTACACGGTTCTTAATCTGTATGAACGTGAACTGCAGTTATCTATTGGTGTTTATTTCTTTAAACAAAAACGCCAGGAAAAGTCGAGGCAAGCTTGCTGTATTTCAGCAGAACGCAGGTTCGATATGTTTGCTTAGATGACTCGATAACAAACATGAGGGGATTAACTCTAAAAGCGGGCAACAGGCTTCACGAAATGTAGCCATTGTTGATCCGTACACGCATGAGAGATAGAAAACCATCGGCGATGTATTCAGGCGCTGTCTTACAGGGCAGATGTAGGACACGTCGGACACAGGAGAGGACGCGGGCACTGTTCTCTACTAATGGCCGTGGGACTCTGTTTTGTCCACGTCCGACAAAAACAAGCTAAAGGGAAGGTTCGTTGCCAGGGACGGAATAATGTGGAGGCCTTGTTGTGTCCAGAACGGTGCTTTATCCAGAACCATCCTGGATAGTCCACGCGTATCCAGAACCGTACCTGGGGCAAAATCTATGTTCTTGGATACGCGGAGACTATATCCAGAATCGTGCCTGATCATAGCGTGACAACATTCAAGCATAGAACTATCGAGACTGTGCAGCATGGAAAAAACAACTGATTCTCAATTGTTCGTCCATGATTACTCTATATCATCATTTCATCATGTAGAAGCATCCACGTAGAAATTCCACAAAGGAGCTAAAAGACCACAGAATCCAAAACCTTGTCCTAAAGTTTGTGCCCTCTTGCACTCCACTTGAATACTATCCCAAATGATGTTTGGATTTTAGACTGTTACTTCAAAGCTAGTCCAAGATTGGCCGCGACTCGTTGCCAATCAGACAAGGAATGTTGTAAACAGCCAAAATCTGTTTCACCCAAACCACATTTCAATCGAGCCAATCAGTGGAAAAAAATGCCACAATCTACTTAAACACTTGCTTAGCATGAATCCAACCAGTTATATTTAAAGAAATGAGCAACCAAAAACAAAAATTAAAGTTGGAAAACATTCTAAAAAATGCACGACTGTGGAGAGACGAAATTGACAACCGTCACGGTTGTTTCTACGGTTACACTTGAGAAAAACAAACACAGAACATATTGCTGAATTCCTCAACTCCCCCTCCTATATAAGGCAATAAATCCCCGTCCGAGGATGGTTACCTGGCAACCGTGGTGTGTACTCGAAGTCAGGTGATTAACGAGGGAATAAAGTGGTCATTAATCGGAGACAAACGGCGAACATTGTAAGGTGCAGGGTAACCTGGGAAAACGGCATTGTGCTGTGAACATGTGTTATCATCCCCTTACATGTTGCTGTCGTCTGAAACACATTCTATTGTTGTGGAACATTCTGGTACTGCTAGGAATGGGACGTATTGGATCCAGAACCGTGCTTTATCCAGAACCATGCCCAGACACGGTTCTGGATAGTATCTATGACCGTGCCTGGGGCAAATCTACGTTCTTGGATACGCGGAGGCTATCCAGAACCGTGGCTTTATCCCGAACCATGCCCGGGCACGGTTCTGGATAGTATCTATGTCCGTGCCTGGGGCAAATCTACGTTCTTGGATACGCGGAGGCTATCCAGAACCGCGCTTTATCCAGAACCATGCCCGGGCACGGTTCTGGATAGTATCTATGACCGTGCCTGGGGCAAATCTACGTTCTTGGATACTCGGAGACTATCCAGAACTGTGCCTGATCCTAACCCTATACCAAGCAGGCATGGAACTAGAAAAGCACGGTTCTGGATACGATAACACGTTTCCTTCATCATTACTTTCAAAACATTGTTTAGATACATCGCAACAGTTACAACTGATCTTTATTTTGCTACAAATGATGAGGTCTTGTGAGCAACATGTGTCACAGTTAGCCGATTCCGAAGGACAAGTATTTTCAAACATTTAAATGTTTCCCATCGAAAAGTGTGTAAACTGTACTTAATTTATTGATGTGACAAATATGAAAAATATGTCAAACCTATACCAAAGTGTTATAAGTCGAAAAGTGAACATCCATTCAATATTATGTCGTCATAATGGTTACAAGATCCTCTACCAGCAGTTATTGTGAACTGTATGTTAACTACCGTGAAAGTTCATCTGTGTCACAAGTTGGTACATGTAGTTACATGTTTAGAGTTAAAACCTTTGATCCAGCCTAAGAAGACCAGAGTGACTGGTCGAACGCTCTAGGTGAGAGAACTTCTTTGTGTTGGATCAAAATTTTAACTCTAAACATGTATAAAAAGCTGTATCCTTCACTTGGTGAAACAAATATACTCTCTTTAATAGCAGAAATTATGCCCTTTTTGCCGCATTTTTTGTTTTTCGTCGATTTTGCGTATTCTGGCCCAGGCACTGGAAGTATCTTGGCCAGGATACACGCAATGAAAAGTCGACAAAATAGAAAGCCCGACAACACTTTTATAAAAGTAAAAAAACAGGCCTAATTTCTGCTTGGAGAGTAAAACAAATGGAATAGCTTGAATCACTATATATGTACACCTTATACCCTGTGTTTGTCTGTACGTTTACATGTATGTGAGGTATGAAATAACGACTAAGCTTCAACTTCCAACACTATACCTACAATGAATTGGGACTTACCCCAAATTTTCGGTTGACTCCATCAACCTTGTTCACGGAGTGGACGCGTCTACTCTTGGAACGTGACGTCAGTGTTGGATGTTAAAGCTTAGTCTTTATTTCATAATGACTTGTACCGACACAGATGAACTTTCATGCTATGTACTTGGGTTATTTAACCTCCTCCCTGCTGCATAACCCTGTAACCAACGCAAATTTGGTACCAAATGGCAGCTCAGCTGGGAGAAGGTTAAATATATCTA